CTCAGAGGTTTGATTGCATTGGGTCTGTTACTTGGAACCCTGATACCCTTGATGATAGGTAACAGAACTAGGTTTGAAATTTAGGGAATCACCATCTGTATACAAATAGGAAGAATGCACTAGTTCTACTGATTTCAATTTAAAAAAAATTAAACACATATTTTCCCTGGCATAGATTGCCTGGATTATATCTCAAACTTGTCCATTCATTATTCCTGGTACACTTTTCTGCATAATCTTGGCTTGATCATCACCTTTGCCAGTATAACATTGCAGAATTCCTTGATACTTTCTAGTATGTAAACTACAGCTCCCATCAGCCTCATGTAACCTCATACAGGTAGTCCCTGACTTACGACCACAATTGAACCCAAAATTTCTGTTAAGAGAGACAATTGTTAAATGAGTTTTGCTTCATTTTGCAACATTTCTTGTCGCAGTTGTTAAGTGAATCACTGAAGTTGTTAAATTTAAATGAACCTGCTTTGACTTTGCTTGTCAGAAGATCTCCAAAGGGGATCACATGACCTTGGAACACAGCAATTGTCATAAGTATGAACCAGCTGCCAAGCATCTGAATTTTGATTACATGGCCATGGGGATGCTACAAAGGTTGAAACTGTGAAAATGGACATAAATCCCTTTATTTAGTGCTGTTCAGGGGTGGGTTTCTGCTGGTTTGCCCTGGATTGGAGTGGTGGTGGTGGGAGGCTCCACCCACCCATCCGGATGCTTCTGTGCATGCAAACTGGTGCCTGGACGCGCACGAGCGAACTGGTAGCAAGATAATTGAAACCCACCACTGATGCTGTTGTAACCTTGAACGGTTATTAAATGAACTCTTGTAAGTCGAGGACTACCTGTACATCTGGAGAGAGGCTGCTTAGAAAAAGATTCTCTCCTATAGTAACTTAACTTCCATATACATTTTAATCTTTCTTCCTTTTCCACATCTTTTTCCTGTTATCCTTCTTTCTAAACTGTAAGCACACTTTCTATCTACATTTTCTCTTTGTTTCTGAAAATTGTGTATATGGACAATAGACAGCTCAGACCAGGGGTAGGTTGCTCCTGGCATTACTGCCAGTTTGATGCACGCAAAATTTTTGTTTGCATGCACATTTGCACAAAAATAGGTCTGCGCATGTACAAAATGTTAAAAAAGAAATAAAATCAAATTTGTGCATTACAATTGTTCTGGGCATACACAGAACTGAAAATCAAGATGGCGGCCCTGTATGAGAACCGGTTTGGGGATGTGGCAGCAATAGCAATAGCAGTAGACTTGGGTTGTGGCCGGTTCCAGCGATCCAGGCCACCAAACCACTACCAGTTCTGCCGAACCGGTCCGAACTGGTAGGAGCCCACCTCTGGCTCAGACCTGATTCTGAGCATTCTGCCACTCGATGTCCCAGCTTCCCACAATGAAAGCACAGCATTGGAACCTGCCACTACTGCCGGTTTGGCCGATTCAGGCCGAACTGGCAGCAACCCACCTCTGAGCGAGCAACAAGATCCTCATCTATTTCTGTACCATTTCAGTCCTGAAATCATAGAGTAACACTGAAGAAAATACAGAAAGCATCTACAAACATTTGGTTTTCTGGCTCGTAATGAAAGTAAAGCTACCTCCAAAAATGTTAGCCTGGCTGCAGACTTTCTACTGACCAACTGCTATTGAACTCACCTCCATTAGCATCATATAAAAGGTCTATGAAAGCATCTATGGAATGGGGCTGACGGCTATTTTCGTTTCACTTATTCTTTGGACCAAGTCCATAATACAAGATTTATGCTATATTTGGGTCAACTTCCAAGAAATACATGATCATGCTGAGCAGTTATTGGACTCCTAGCTAGTATGAGCCTTTGTTGGAAGCAAGCAAGCATTACATCCATTTCAATTTTTAACTACCACAGCACTTCTGTCACTTAAAATATGATGTGGGAAAGCAAAGGAGGCATGGGAAACTCCTAAATGCCAAAATGGTCCTAACGTAAGCATCACATTCATATATGGAGAAAGTCTTATCTGTTTCTCTCTATTAAATGGTTTTCCATCAGAAAATCCCATTATTCTTAGAGACAGTGTCTGGTGAGGCAATGAGAACAAATCCCCACATTTTTTTCGCAGGGGCATTAAGGTCAAATCTGGCAGCTGGCAGTGGTGCAATTCAGCCAGTTCTATCCAGTTCAGGTGAACTGGTAGCGGTGGTGGCAGAAGGTTCCGCCCACCCACCCGGATGTCATCACATCCCGTTTTTGATGCTGTGCGCATGCGCAGAAGGTCCTGCGCATGCGCGGAGGTGGCACGTGCGCTCACATTTGCAAAAAGTTGATTTCACCCCAGCAGCTGGATATACCAAAATTCTCTCTGGAAGAGAGAACTGGATATTGCCCACATGTCCTTTGGACAGCTGATTTTTGTCAGCAGACTGCAAAAACCATTGTTTTTACAGCCACTTGCAAACAATTGGAAGTCAAAGGTTTCATCATGCTTTGAGCCACAAATGCAGCCTTTCAGGATTCGGTTTGACCAAGCCTCATCTTTTTAATCATTTGGGAGTTTTACCTTTCTCGTTGTTTGTTTAAGACTGGAAAAACTTTCAGAATCACAGGACTCCTGGTCACTGGATGGGATTCTCTTCAATATATTTAAAAAGAAAGAATATCACATCTTTGTAGCTTTTTAAGATAATTTTTTGTAACTTCTTGTAATATATAGCAAAGAGATGATTCCAGAGTGGTTTCTGGAAACCTTTGTGAAATTGATTTAAAGAAAGGTTCTGAAGTGAATTAGAAAGGGCTTCTTGTGTGTGAAAAACATACTGTATCTTGTTTACAAACAAGACTTTAAGATCAATTACTAGTGCACATGTTGGTTACTTTAAAGGAATTGTTTGATCTCTAGGCCTGTGAAGTGCTTGAACCAGAGGTGGGTTCCTACCAGTTCGCACCAGTTCAGTAGAACCGGTTTGTCAAATCTACTGAACTGGTTAGAAGAGGTTCCACCAGAAAGCAGGCCACACCTACAGAAGAGGTTCCAAAATTTTTTGAAACCCACCACTGACACACACACACACACACACACACACAGAGAGAGAGAGACTCACACAGAGAAAGAGAAAGAAAGGAAGAAATAAATAAAGAAAAAAAGAAAAAAAGAAAGAAAAAGTGAGAGAGAAGAAAGAAAAAAAGGAAAAAGGGACAGAGAGACAAAAGGAAGGAAAGAGAAAGAGAGAGAGAGAGAGAGAAAGAAAGAAAGAAAGAAAGAAAGAAAGAAAGAAAGAAAGAAAGAAAGAAAGAAAGAAAACATATGGCCGGCAAGCCACTTCCACAAAGGAGGCCACACCCACAGAGTAGGTTCGAAAAAATTTTGAAACCCACCACTGGCTTGAACTCTATTGGAACAAACACCTCTAGTGAACAAACCCTTCCAGAGATAACTGAGGTGAATTCATAAGAAGTGAATTTATAAGAAGCAGATGTAAATATTCAATTTACAAATGCAGTTGGGATCGTTTAAAAATTGAAAAAGACATTACAGACTAACCTTTTAATAGGAAATATAAGATATATTTACTGAAGTTACTTCATGAAAATTACAAGTCGACTTGAAAGATGCTAAGAATTTTGAGTGAGGAGGAAAAGATATTAGAAGAAAACGGGAGTTGGAATGAAATTTATGAGACTTAGGATTGGCTGGGAGGAAGAAAGAAAAACCTAAAACTGGTTTATCTAACTATATTTAAAAGTTTTCTTATTTCTGGTGATGCTTACTGGTTATCTGGATTGTATAGTTTTTCTTTTGGAAATGTCTAGTGGTGTAATTTTTAAACTTGGCAACTTTATGATATGTGGACTTCAGTTCCCAGAACTCTCTAATGGTCTAACCCAGTGGTTCCCAATCTTTTTTTGGCCATGCCCCACCTAAGCATCTCTAAAATCCTGATGCTCCCCTCCCCGTCACATATAATTCTTAATTTACTCAAAAAGTGACTCTACTCTATTCTACTCTACTCACATGGAGGAAGCCTAAAAGGTCATTAACTTGGTTTAAACAAGGTTCAAATTGCCCCCATTAAAAATCAGATTGCCCCCCTGTGGGCGTAGACCCCATGTTGGGAACCACTGGTTTAAGCAGTCACCGGCTGATTGCAAAGCAGTTTAACAACTGCAAGGAGCTGAAATTGAAGATTGTTTAACATCTGACAAAATATATCTGACAATGAATGATCCAACAAAAGGGACAGAATCAGGCAACTACAAGCTAATTATCTGCTTACCAACAATTTTCAAATTGCAAAGTGGTGTGATAGCTGATGCAGTCCAACAGCATCTAGTTAAAAACAAACTCTTTCCATCTGAGAAGAAAGGAAAGCGCCCAAATAGAATAGGAACATCACTGATTTATAATTGTTTATTTAACAACAATTTGAGGTTATAATGGCCTTGGAAAGAAGTGATTTATTAACTGTCCTCAAAGTTACAACCGTCACACAAACCTATGATCATGTGATCGCAATTCAGGCATTTGGCAATCAGCTCATATTTATGATGGTTGCAGCATCTTCCAGTTACATAATCATGATTTGCAACCTTCCCAGTTGGCTCCCAACAAGCAAAGTCAATTGGGGAAGCCAGATTTGCTACGGTGATTCACTTAATGACATGGTAAATTGGTTATAAAATCAGATCTCATCACATCATTACTCGATTTATGACCTCACCAACTTACAAAGGAATTTTCAGTCCCTATTGCAGTTGTAAGTCAAGGACTACCTGCAATTGACATGGTGATTTGGGAAAACTGGAAGACCAATTTGAGTGTAGTTTAGATTGATTGCAAGAAGACATTTGACTACCTGCTACATAAGTGACTAATCAAGAGCCTAGAAATAATAGAATTTATTAGAAATTTTAGAAGCTTTGTGCATGATCAATGGCACAAGGGAAAACACAATTGTAGTCAATTGTGCCATAGAAGAATTTCTATTTACCGTATTTTTCAACCCAAAAGTGTCTTGGTAAGTGCTTCCAACGCGAACGTAGTAGTAGTGCTCCACAGAGTAAGGGTGGATTGAAGACACCCTCACCCTCATTTTTCAACTTAGCCAGCTTAACCACACTTGCTCAGAAAACTAATAAGAAGATAAAATAAGGGATAATCAGGACTTTTGGTACTATCTGTGATAAAATCAATATTCAGGAGTGACTTTTCTCAGGTCAAAGAATGTTGAGAGATCTCTACACCTTTATCCCTGGCTATACTCACACGACTTTTCCAGGACACTTGGGTCCCCAGCTGCACTTGTGATACTCAGCTTTCACATAGCTCTCCACTCCATCCTGAAGAGTGCACGTGACATTCCTCTGCACCACATATGCACAATAGGTCCTGCATGAGAAGCAAAGTCAGATTTGGTTAAACATCTGACAACCAGATTTGATCTCCCAGCCCCTCTCAAACCTCCAGGCCAGACTTTGCAGTGTCCAGTTGGGCAAACAGCTTAAGGGTTCTCCTTTTGGTTTTTCATTAGCAGGGAATAATTAAATAGCTGAGACCACCAACCAGAAAGTTTCAGACAGACGATCTGATTTGGAGGGCCTCAACTATGAAAGTACGAACACTAGTTAGTTAAGTGCTGTCAGGGTGACCCAGTAAAAAGTTAAAGTTCAAATTCTACACCCCAATATTCAGATACTTTTTAGATGACTGCCATTTTTTTCATAGCAAAATGTATGTAGGAAAAAAGTACTCAGAGTTGTTCAGAAGTTGAAACCAAATAAGTAGTTAACACTTTGAGGTATGGGATTCATACAGAAAGCTGAATCAGTAACACAACTATTACAGGAATAATTTCAGTTGGAGCTTTTTCAGCAATGACAGCCTAACAGATGTCAGTATATAAAAGGCATTTCTCTTCTAAAGCTGCATTTTAGCAACTCCACCAGAGGTAGTATTCAGCAGGTTCTGACCAGTTCTGGAGAACCAGTAGCAGAAATTTTGAGTAGTTTGGAGAATCAGTAAATACCCACTCTGAGTGCCCACCCCACCCCCATCTATTCCCTGCTTCCTGAGTCGCAGCTAATCGGGAGGGAACAGGGATTTTGCAGTAACCTTCCCTTGGAGTGGGGACGGAATAGAGATTTTACAGTATCCTTCCCCTGCGACACCCTACCAAGCCATGGCCACAGAATCGGTAGTAAAAAATTTGAATCCCACCACTGAACTCCATTCTGTAAGCTACTTGGTGACTAGATTGTCTATCCCACCCTTTTCCCCAACAATGTTGCACCCACAGCAGAAAAACCTCTACACACCTATTCTAAAAATACATAAATTGATGGATAATTTTCAAAATTAATTTACGTACAGTTCTTCTATATCTTAAGACCTCTGTCGCTTTGCAACACAAGATCAATAAATGCAACAATAATAAATAATGAAAACAGACTGATGCCTATATACATTAATTCCCAGGAGTAACAACTACAACTGAAAGACTCTTTGGACCAATCCTGCTTTTACAATCTCTTTCTGATTGTCATCACATAGGCACCCAAAGTCATTTATTACAGCCCTATTCAAATAACTGTAATGTGAACAATGTGAGCAAGCGTGAGGTATGGTTTATTTGCAAGCATTGGGTCTTCTGCATACTTTAACATGCTAAGAGGTTCAGAATAGTTACTCCACTGTGAATCAAAGGCTGCCAGACTTAGATTAACATAGCTATTAGCCTTAATGTATCTTAAAGATGGCAGTCTTTGTCTGACTTTGTCTGAGTTTAGAAGCTAGGGGAGATCTGGTCCGGTTAATACTGTGAGGAGAAAACTCCAGGGAATACTGTGACCATAGAACAGGGGTCTCCAACCTTGGCAACTTAAAGCCTGGAGAACTTCAACTCCCAGAAGCTGGCTGGGGAATTCTGGGAGTTGGCATCCTCCGGGCTTAAAGTTGCCAAGGTTGGTGACCCCTGCCATAGAATGTGAAAAGTTGAACAACATTCCTGAAAAAGGCAAACCATTTCTATACTATTGCCAAGAAGTAGCATGGATGTATCTATGAAGTTACATAGTTTCTTGTGAAGTCAAGAGCTGAGATTGATGGAAAAAATCTGCAATGTACATATCTATTTTTTGATGTATTTAAAGTGACTGTAAGGAATAGAATGCAAAACTTTTTTAGGAATGGAAGGGCACTTTCTTTCCACTGTGTGTGTGTCCTGTAGCCTTTTTGACTCCTGGAAACTGACTGGGGAAGTTGCTGCAGGTTTTTTCTTACAAGTTTTTTCAGAAATGGTTTGCCATTATTCCTTCCTAGGACTGAGAAACAGCGGTTCGCCCAAGGTCAGCCAGCTGGCTTCATGTCTACAGTGGGACAAGAACTCAGCCTTCTGATTTCACCACTACACCAGAGGTGGGTTGCTCCTGGTTCGGTCCAGTTTGGGGTACACCGGTAGTGGTAGCTGTGGGAGTCTCTGCCCACCCGCCCATATGCTTCTGCGCATGTCCACTTCTGCACTACACCAAAGTGGTTTCTCCAAAGGAAGCAAATCAGAGGTGGGTTGCTACCGGAACCGGTAGTGGCACTTGTGACTGGATCACCAAACCAGTAGGGATGGCAGGCTAGCCATGACCCTGAACTGGTTCCCCAGTTGCCCATGCATGTATGTGAAGTGAACCGCAAAGCATGTGCAAAGAGAACCAGCAGTAACACCAGCAGCAACCCACCCCTGAAGCAAATACATCTTCTTTGTTATCCTTTTCCTCTGAATCTCCCCATTTTATCCACCACATACAAACCAAAGGCTATTGAAACTTTTGTTGTTGTTGTTGTTGTTGTTGTTGTTGTTGTTGTTGTTATTGTTGTTGTTCAGTCACTAAGTCATGTCCGAATCTTTGCAACTCCATGAACAAGCTAGGCTCTCTTGTCCTCCATTGTCTCCAAGAGTTTGCTCAAATTCTGAAACTTACACTAAAATTTGCATTATCCCTATTGTGTGTTAGCTTTGAAATACTATCCCCACTCTCCTCTTTATTGGCATTCTAAGTCTTTTCTTTTCTTTTAATAAATGAACATGAACATTCTTCTGAGTTAGGCTTTCCTTATATTCCTCATATCTAGCACATGCCAGGATATCATCTGCTATGCATGCCCTTGTCTCAGTCAAGGTTGTGGCATTTTCCTGTCCATCAAGTGAAAAGGAATAAACTAACTGTCAGGTTCCAAGTAATGCATCCATCACAAATTGAACTCCGAGGCATTCCGTTCCCTCAAAGTATAAATTTATTTAGATATACCATCTTGGCGCTAACTGGTGAAAATCCAGAAAAAGCCAGTACGATTTTATTCCCTTGAAATTTGAGTAAAAGCTAGTCCTGTTTTTTGCCCATACCAGTTGTTTTTCTGGCATTAAAATCTGCAAGACATATTTGGATATTGAAAACCGACTCTTTGAGACAATTTCAGTTTCAGAATTTCTGGTATAGTAACTGATTTTGTTTTCTTTCTATGTTGAGTTCATGGAACAAAAATAGAGTAAATAGTTTATATCAGTTATATGGTTAATCAGTATTTTAAAACATTTCTGATGTTGCAGGGATGTTCAGATTGTTGAAATCTGCTGAATGGTAATATATTCAGTTGATATTGCATAATTTGGACCAGGCATATAAGAAGCATATGAAACCTCTCAAATATTATTATCACTAAGAGTTTTTGGATGATTCCAAGCCTACAATTTATTTTTAACAGACAAGTGAGCAGTTTTATAAAGACAGATATTAGTGAGTTGCAAGAAAAACAGAAATAAAAATTGGAATCTCCCATTTAAAAAAAAAAGTGGGTAAGGAGTTTAAAATTTCTATATGTTGCTATTAAGATGTACTTCTGCAATTCAACAACAAATCCCACATTGAGTGATTTGGATTCTTCAGAGAATGTTTAGTAAGGGCTAGAAATCAATCTCAGTACAATCGTGGACCAGATATTGACACATGTGTTCTGGGCCTTTTCCAAAATTATTCCTTTTTGGTTTAAAATTTATAAACTTATAGTGCTGGCAAAAGAAATAAGATTTAAATATGTTGAAGCAATGTTGATCTATATTCAAAAATGTGGGAGCTATTATTGCACTGACTGCTCTGGATTTATTGTATGTGGATTATAGCTAATTAGACTGCTTTACCATGATGAAAAGACCCATACTTGACATTAAGATCTTGGAATTTATAATATGTTTATACAGTATTTTGAAGTTATAAAGTTGTGTTCCTCAAGCACATTTTCTTTTAGGGGGAAAGGAAGACCAGTTCCCATCTCCATGATCTATTATTAATGAGCTGTTTAAAAAACTTATTTTTTTTTCATGGATATTATTTATTTATTTACCTACCTATCTTCCTACCTACTATACTTTAATATTATCACAGAGCCGTGGTGTGTAATGGTTAGAACGCAGTACTTACTGTACTGTAGGCTAACTTACTGCTCACACCAGGAGTTCGATTCTGAGCGGCTCAAGGTTGACTCAACCTTCCATCCTTCCGGTAAAATGAGGACTCAAGATTGTTGGAGGCAATATGCTGGCTTGGTAAACCGCTTAGAGAGGGCTGTAAAGCACTAAGAAGCAGTATATAAGTCTAAATGCTACTGCTATCATGTTCATTTTGATTCTGTTATCTTTGAGCTTTCCTTCTTTTTTGGCACTGCATGTTAAAAGCACTGTTTTTTTTCTTTTTAACAAACTGCCCAGATGAGTGGAATTGAGAATAACTTACAACATCCTTATTATTTCCCATCAGTTGCTACCTCAAATCATATTGCCTCTGATCCTATAAATACACACAGAGCAATCACAGTATGGATAGTCTTAATAACTATGAATTTATTTAACTCCATTCTAAAGCTATTTGTTGGCTGTTACCATAAAAATAATTATTTTCAACATTCAACCAGGCATCAAGTTCTTCCACAGTTTGATATGAATTTCTCATAGAGATGGGCTGAAGATGAGAAGAAACAAAGCGGAAAACACAGTAGGAGTTGCTCCATTCCTCCTGTTTGTTTTAGATATTCCTTTCTAGCAACTGTTGTTATTCCAGATCTACATTCATTATTGATTTGTGTAAAGTATTTGCAGTATTGACTGCTTTCAGTCTACTTCCTAATAAAAGCCGGCATAGCATTCACCTTTTCATAGTTGCCATACTCCCATATTTTAACTGATTCTCCACTCTCATCTGTGATATTTTTTATGATGAATTTTTTTATCATTTCCTTTTGCTCCCATCTATACTGAACTGCACTTGCCTTTCCCCCCTCATACATCTCTTTTGCTTTTTCCCACCCTGAATGATTTATTCGATCTCAAAATTTGGATATCTCATTGC